AGAAGCAATAAATGAAATAGAGAAAAAGCAATAAAACCCAAAACTTGTCCTTTGAAAGATCAACCAGACTGACAACCTTTAGTTACTTTGATCAAGAAGAAAAGGAAAATAACATTCAGATTACAGATTCAGAAGTGAAAGAGGGAACATCATATTACTGACTTCACAGAAATAAAATTTATAAAATTCTATAATTATTAAGGAAAACTGAATAATTTTGGTTGATCAATTAGATAATTTAGATAGAAGGGAGCAATTTCTAGAAATACTAAAACTATCTAAACTTTCTCAAGATGAATAGGAAAGTTATAAGCAGGCCTGTAAAAAGTAAAGAAATCAAGTAATCAAAAACCAATCTAAAAACAAAGGCTCAGGACCAGATGGTGTCTCCACTAAAATTCATCAACGCTTTAAAGAGTTAATACCACAAGTTCACAAACTCGTCAAGCAGAAGAAGGAGGAACACTTACCCAACTCATTCTAGGAGGTCAGAGCTACCTCAAACCAAAACCAGACACAGATATCATTAGAACAAAATATAGAGAACAGTATTTCTTTTTTTTTTGAGGACATTATTTTTATGAATGTGGACTCAAGAAACCTCAATGAAATATTAGCCATCTTAATCAAGCAGTGTATAAAATTAACTGTATGCCTGGATCAAGGGGATTTACCACAGGAATGCAAGATTTAACATAAAAAATGAATGCAATGTATAAAAGAACAATACTACCCGATAATCTACATAGATGCAGAAAAAACATTTGTCAAAACCCAGCATCCTTTCAGGAAAGCAGACAAACTAGGAAAAAAGGAACTGACCCAGCATCCCTTCAGGAAAGCAAACAAACTAGGAAAAAAGGAACTTTTTCAATTAATAAAAGGCACATATAAAGAACCCAAAATAAACATCATACTTAATGGTGCAAGACCGTCGGCGTTCCCCATAAGATGAGGGACAACATAAGTGTGTTCACCATTATTGCTCCAACTCAATATTTACTGGCGGTTCTGATCAAGGCAATTAGGCAAGAAGAAGAAATAAATGGCATCCTTATTGGAAGAAAGAAGTGAAACTATTTCTATTCACAAATGATATTATTTTGTGTACAGAAAATCTTAAATCCATTTAAAAACCCATAGAACTAATAAATGAGCTCAGCAAGGTTACATATGTATGACATCTAGGTCAATAATCATATTTCTGTGAACTTAAAATAAATAATCCAAAAATAAAACTAAGAAACACATTCCGTTTACGATAACACCAACAAAGTGGAAAAACTCAGGGCTAAAATTAATAAAACTGTGCAAAGCTTATACTGTAAATACTGCAGGAAAGACAGAGTTGAAAGATAATGTAAAAGTGTGAAATAAGCAGAAAGACACTTCATGTTCAGGCTGGTATTTCCTCATAATATTAAACAGAGACATCATATGCATCAATCAGCCATGCTATCTCTAGGTGAATACTCAAGAGAACATAGAAAATTGTACCTAAATGTGTAATTCAGCATTATCTGTGGTAACACCAGAGTGCCAATCATTAATGAATAACTAAACAAAATATGACATACTCATGGAATGGAATATTACTTTTGTCAGTAGAAAGAATGAAGTTATGATACTTAACTACCACATGGATGAACCTTGAAAATTTCATGCTAAGTGAAAAAAAAAAGCAGATACGAAAGACCACATATTGTATGATTCATTTATATGTTATATTCAGAACAGGAGAGTTTATGGAGACAGAAAGTAGGCTAGTGGCCACTAGGAAACTAACACCACTTCAATGTTGGTTCCTTGGACCACTTATCAGCCCAGTGGTTAAGAATGTGGCTTCTGACGTCAGATTGCTGTGTTTAAATCCTTCATTAGAGGGACTTTGGATGAGTCATTTAATGTCTCTGAGCCTCATGAACTAGAATTCAATTATGTTAGAAAGAAAAGAATTGGTGTCTCATCATTATTTTTTTTAAATGCAGATAAATTCAATTTTATAGATTTTTGTGTCCAATTTGCAGAGCACACCTCCTCATGGAACTGTGTAATTAAAATGGAGCGTGCACTGAAGTACCCTAAGGTTTCAGTAAGTGGTAACAGCTGTTATTGGTACCAAATTAATAATTTGATAAAAGAATAATTTTTAATTGAGAAGACCAAGAAAGGTATGCCAATAGAATTAAACATCTCCCAAATATTATGATTTGGTGGTTAAATTCTTACTTCTTGGGGGGCTGATTTCTTAGGAGGCTGGGGATGTAGCTCAGTTGGTAGAGTGCTTGCCTTGCATGCACAAGGTTCTGGTTCAATCCCCAGTACCACAAAAAACAAAACAAAACAAAACCTTACTTGTTAGGTAAAACATTAAAAAAGAAGTGTTAGTGTTTCTAGATTTAGAAGCTAAAAGAATTCTTACTTTTTGTTTGCATTTTCTTTTTCTGATCTTGGACTTGATCTTTCTAGCTCATTTGCTGTCCAAGTAAAAGGAAGACTTAAAAAAAAACTGAGAAGGCTTTTAGCATTTGGAAAGTCAATATACACCTGAAATTTAATATCTTTTCCAAATAAGCTTTTTTTTTTCTTCCATCTTTTGAGCAAGGAGGCAATGCGTATAGACCAAAGCTCAGGGATCCTGTCTGTGGAGGACCTGTAATTTTAGACCAAAGAGCACCTCACCTTTCAGAAGAGTAACTCCTCAAAATACTCAGTACCTATTTCCAGTGTCACAAAGATGACCAATTTCTTAAAGTAGGGACGCATTTCACATGATACTGTAATTTCTACCAAACTGTAATAAATGCCAATAAAGCCTAATTCAATTTTCAAATTCAAATTAGTCTTTGTTTCTAGGCATTTTTATTGGGAAGAGATGGGAAATGAGTTTTCAAGAAAAGTAAAAGTACTTTATAAGTTCCCACTGATATCACAATTCAATTTCAAGATTATGGAGTTTTTATTTAAACCTATTGATCTTCTATCTATATTGATTTTATTCCCTGCCGAAAATCCAAATTTTTCCTGACACCAGCACAATTGCATATTTGCTTTAAACCAAAATACATAGGCAAAGGTCTCAAAATCATATTGTGGTTCCTGGAAATAGTTTAAAGTATCATGGCTGGTTTCAACACTTACAGATTCAAAGTATGATTTTTAGAATTCACTTGGAAAAGTTCCTTCCTGTGGGGCTATGCCAATAACTCATTAAATGGCTAAAGTTCATTTGTATCACTTTGTTTCCCATTTAAAGGCGACATAAAAATGGTTTCATAATAATGTAAATATGTGCATTGTTCTAAACTTAAATGATTAAAATAGTGTATAAAAACAATTATATTCAGAGAATTCTACTCTTAGACTACTTTAATCTACACACTCCTATTTCTTCAGTAAACTTTAAAAAATTGTGACTTATACACCCATTTATATAAATCATTTTTATGAATGTTAGCACATTATAAGTAGTTATACTACCTCGAGATTGCTGCCTAACAGTGTATTAAGATATTTTACATTATTTTTCATAGCGATGTGTTACTCTCTTATTTAGATGCACTATAATAATCAACCAGCCATCTATTGATGAATATTTTTATTGGAAGCCTTTTTTTCATTTAGAAATTACATTGCATTGAACAGTCCTGCATATAAATATATTTTTGTGCACTTACCAGTGTGCCTTTGAAATAGAATCCTAATGAGATTGTTGGGTTGAATGGTAAATGCATATTTAATTTGGCTAGATGTTTGTCTGATTTCACTTCAAATTTATGCACTTCTAAAGCAATGCAATGAAGTACCTATTTCCTCACAGATTTGTCAAAAAATAGTCTGATTCTATTTCGTTTCTTTCTTCTTTTTTTCCCCCTAGTTTTGGAAATTGAACTCACAGGCTTATGAATGCTAAGCACATACTCTACCACTGAGTTCTATCCTCAGCCCTTTCTTGCCTTTTTAACATGATTTTAGGTACATTGCTTCTTAATTTTTAGAGGAGTTTCATGTATCGTCTTTTTAGCCATCTGTAGTCTATGTAGCTAGTATTTTTCCATTTCATCATTCAGCTTCTTAAAACTCTGTACTTTGTCATGCAAAAGTTGTGTGTGTGTGTGTGTGTGTGTGTGTGCGCGTGTGAACAATATAATCAAACTCATATTCCCTGAATTTTAAGTATAGTTAAGAACGTTTTTCTTGCAACCCAGGTATAAGAAAACTCACCTGTGTATATTTTTTTGTAAGATGTATGGCTTTATATTAAACATGCAACTCCCTGACTCATTTAGAAGTCATCAAGAAAGTTCCCCAAATTTATCAAGCATGAGCAAATGGAGGCTGGTTCCAGTGTACCAGTTGCTACTGTGAAGCATGCCATTGATATGAGAACCATGTGTCCTCATTTGTTACTTTGTATCTTCTTAGTTACAATGGTGTGTGTATCATCATCAGTAAAATTCCTGGTGTCTCAAATATTCCAAATCAACCTTTTTTTAAAAAAAAGAACCAATATTTTTTAGTGGTAGATGGACACAGACCTTTATTTACTTATTTATGTGCTACTGAGGATCTAACCCAGTGCCCTCCACACGCTAGGCAAGTGCCCTGTCACTGAGCCACAACCCCAGCCCAATCAAAAGCCTCTTTGAACATTAAGGAAATGTTTCATCATTCTTGATGAATAGTACAGGATAGCATTGGTGGCAGAACGTATTACTATTTGAAAAAAACCCCTGCTTTTTCTCTAATCAGATTTGTTTTGTTTTTAGCATAAAACAACGATGGTTCAATTGTGAAACAGTGCTCTCAGGAACATCAACAAAATAGTGAATTTTCTGTGTAGGGAAATAATCATGATGGCTTTTTCAATGGTTTTGTTTTTACCAGATTGGCAGTGACTATGGCTTGTAATGATATATCCATTTTCTTCTTTCAGGTTTAGAAAACTGATGCCCCCCCCACAAAGGACACACACAATATAAAATACAGTAAAGACTCACCGCTACTGGAAGCATCGTTCAGGTTCAGCAGTCCTCCTCCTAGCCCTCTGTAACTATGGTAACTGTAGGTCCCATTTCCATTGATGTATAAGACCTCCTGTGAGCCCGGAACTGTTGACGTTGAATAGGTGGCCTGGGCTGCCTCTGGTTTACACTGTTTGTCCCCTGGAGCAGACTCGTCCTGCAAATGACACACCACACTTCATTATTTATCAAGTCATCACACTATTTCATCTTGATTTGGGACTGTCTAAATGTCACCTACATAGCTTTACACAGTGAATATTAAGTAAGTTCATAGGCACAGTTTCCACAATTTTGCTAAAAACTAAAAAAAGAGAGCAAAGAAACGAGGTGGGCACGTTAGAGACGGAGCAATTAACAATTTCCAGCTGAATTTAAAATTACACCTAGAGAGTCATTCACAATAGTCAAGAAGTGGAAACAGTCTATATGACCCCTGGCAAGCGAATGGATAGAGAAGACATGGCATATACTTACAACGGCATATTATTCAGCCTGTAAAAAGAAGGAGACCCTGTTCATTTACCACAAAATAGATGAAACTTAGGGACATTATGCTGAGGAAAATAAGCCTGTTACAAAAAAGCAAATGTTACATGAGTCTATTTATCTTATATATCTAATGTATTCAAACTCACAGAAACGTAAAGAAGAATGGTGGTTTCCAGGTGTCAAGGAAAGGGAGAGGGGAGAATCAGTCTGTAGTTGTACAGTTTCAGTCATGTAGGGGCAGTGCAGGGATGGTCCTGGAGCTCTGTTGTACCAAGGGTATGTGATTGACAGTATTGTACTGGGTACTTAGAAACTCCTGAGAGGGTGAATTTTATGTCAAAAAATAAAATTAAGAGAGAATGAGCCAGGCTTAAAAAAATCACGTGACGAGAAATTATAATAAAAGGAAAAGAAACATTTGACAAAAATTTGAGTTCCTCAAAATCTTTTTCTGCAGGCCTTCTTCCCTGTCTCCCTGTCTCCCTCACCTTCCTTTTTCTCTCCTCCTTTCTCTTTATATTTCATGGTAAGAAAACTAAATAAGCAAAATGGAGTATCAACTCTAAGCTAAGCCTGTTACATGCATCACCACAGCACGACAACAAGGACCTTAATAAACAAATGGGCCTTTCAGCTTTTTTTGGCTTTTGTTTTTTGTTCTTAAAATACACCTATGTTCACAAAATTTGCTTCAAACTCTACAACCAGGTCAAGCTGTGAGGAAATAAAAATTCAGATTTCTAATAAATTATATGAAATTTGTTAGTAAAACTCAGCATGAGTTTATAAAGCCTAAAATATATACAATATATTTGATTTGTCGAGTCTTCTGTATTACTTATCTTCTTTCTTTTTTAAACAGGAAAGAATTATGAACAGATTTCTAGCGAGTCCTTGGGCATGCCTTTATCATCATCAGAAGCGTTTTGCAGGTCTTCAGTTTAGATTACAATGCACGTTTAGTTGAACAAGGAACTTTCAAATCCTTTTGTGGATCCAAGCGATAGAAAAGAGGAAGGATGGGATGAGTTTGCTCCATGGACTCAGGAGTGTTTTTATATGGAGAGATCTTTCACCATCAAGAAAACATCGCTATGTCAGCAGTTAATTTTGCTCTTGGTCTCTGCTGCGTTAAACTACATCCAATGTTTGACACTGACCATCATGTTCAGCCAGAGATATCTGACAGAAGGCCTATAGATTTTAACTTTTCATTTATAGAAAGATTAGGGAAGCAAAGAATAGCATTCAAAATTTAAAAAACATATATATATATATATATGGAACTTGACTTCCCAATCTAAATAATGGAGCCCGAAACAGCAACATTTTTCAAAGTAGATTGAAGTGAAAATAAGAGAAAATGGGAAGGAAATCACTACATAGCATAAACAAATATAAACAAGAGAATTTTTATGTAGATTTATTTGCCACGTATTGCCTTTTAAAATGCAATAAATAATGATGCATCTGAGATTTAAGTAGTACAAATACGAACAGAATTAAATTGATGTATAAACTAGAAAGTCTGATTGTAATTTAAAATCTTGCTATTTGAACCTTAGAAAACCCTGGGAGGGTTAATTACCTTAGAATAGCACTTTCCCTGAGAGAAACTGTCTTAAAGAGGGGACCTAAACAGAATCAAATTTCTGGTATTGCTGGCTCTACCTACTTTGAATGGGAAGTTAGTAATTTCCAGATTATTATTTTTAATTTTGACAGCTACTCTTTGTCAGCAAAAAGTACTCAAAGAAGGAGAATTTTGGATTGTGGTTCTCTATAGAGGCTGTTAGGTCTTTGCCAACATTACCTCTGGTAATTGAGACTTCTAGACATATTTCTATTTGACAAATAAGTGAACAATGTAAAATTGTTTTCTTTTGTAGTCAAGGTGAATTTGTATATTATACATAGTAAAGAAACTTCAATAATCTACAACATTATTTACAGAAATCAGTTGTTGGAAGTGTGTGTCATAATAAGCAGGCCTGAGGTCAATAATCATACTAACTACGGGGCTACTCTAAATGAGAATTATTAACAAAGTCAGTAATATTAGTGGCATAGAAACATAGTAATTATTAGAGTCTAGAACCAACTATTTTTAAATGGCATGTTATAGAGACCAGGTGAATGAAAAAACAGTTCAACCAATGATGACTACATCTCATACACAATCCATCAGCCCTTCATAAGTGTCCAATGAAATGGTCTACCATCTAGGAGTGCCATCTTCTCTGCCTGGGGACAGAGATACACATATGTATATATTATACATATGATAGTACTAATATTACATAGGCATGTAATACATAAATATGTATAATACATATGTATATGTAAATAAAAATCTAAAATAAAAAATGCTCTGATATCTAAAAAATTTTGCCTGTAAGACACTCAAAAATTTTTGAATTTGGAACACTGCAGAGTTTAGATTGTTAATATGGGATTGCTCACATAATATTCTATGGAAATATTCCAAAGTCCAAAAAGCTATAAATGTCCAACATACTTCTTATCCCAGTCATTTCAGATAAGGGATACTCACAACTTGTACACCCACCTATTCCTCCACAGTGGAATAGACATGTCATATATTTGTTGAGTTTCAGATTATTAAAATGGCACCACTTCCAAAAGTTTAAAAGATAAACCTGTGATGTTTACATGGTGCTATTGTTTGGTTGTTGGATGTTCCCCCAAAATGTTGAAGGCTTGGTCTCCAGGGTAAGGCTACTGCTGGGAGGTGGTGGAATCCTTGGGGGAGTTCTTTAGGTCTCTGAGAATATACTTTCAAATGAGATTGTGAGACCCAACTCTTCCTCTCTTTTACTTCCTGCTTCAAGACGTAAGTGTTTTTGCTCATCTATGAGCTCCCAGTCATTGACATCTGGCACCTCCACCAGAGGCTCAAAGCAATGAAGCCACCTGTTCTTGGTGGTAAAATCTCTAAATCCCTGGGCTAGATGAGACTTTTCTCTTATAAGTTAATTTTGTCTCAGGCATTTTTTTTTATAGAAACCCTAAACTATTTAATATACATAAATGAATCTTTTTTTATCATGTGTATAATTCTATTTCCTACTAAATAGTCATGTTTAAGCTGATCTCCATGGAACTGTGAGGATGTTTTCCTGAGATTATGAGTATAGACATACAGAGAAGGTTGCATACTGCATCCTTCCTTGTTTATCATTCTAGTGGCTTTGCTTTACTCTACTTTACACTTGTAAAAAAATCACTGCATCCAAAGCTTTGTGAAAACTACTGGGCCATAAAATATTCTTCCTGTGAAAACACACAGCTATTGAAATTCTGAAAAAAGGAAAAATGTTCTATACTTTTTAAAAGCAATTTTGGGGTCATTGGGAAGGGACTTGCCTCAAACAGCTCCACCACTTAAATACTGAAAATGACTGGGGAAACATGGTAAAACTTGAATTTCTAGTTTTAGGAAAAATAATGACTCTTATAAAACATACCAATCTATTTCTCTCTGTTTGAAAATGACAATAAAGTATCCTCACAGAAGAGCTTCTTCTCACTGATGAGTAAAAAGGGAGAAGGAGCAAGCATTGTCACTTTGGTATTTTTTCATTCTTTTTTAGAAAGAATTAATTTGCAGTATTAAATGTGGTTTTTAAGATTTGCCTCAGCCTTTCATTATTAAACTGTTATTCCAAACCACAGTAACCACTTAGCAGGCAGATAATTAATTCTATTAACAAATAAAACAGACTCTGTAGGAATTATTTGTATCCAAACACAGATTTATGTTATTCATGTTTTTGGCAGTTCATTATATATTGAGAAACACAATATTGGAAACTTCCAGTAGAATCTGCTCTGTAGGAACTGGATGTGGTGGCATGCTCCTATAATCCTAAAGAGTCAAGAGGCTGAGAAGGATGATTTGCAAGTTTGAGGCCAACCTGGGCAACATAGAATGAGAGTCTAATAATAATAATAATAACCATTATTGTTGTTGTTATTATTATTGTCTATAGGGTCCTTGGGGCAAAAGTTTAGTATAAAGTTAATTTGTGTTTTACCTTGAATGACTATGAGAATTGGTTTCAAAGAATGATTTTTTTAACATAAAAAATAAACACCCTCTAGAGTCACATTTTACCTCTCAAGCAACTTAAAATCATTAGTTCCCCAGGTTTTCACAGCTAAGAGTTAACCTCCTAAGTGACAATGAAGATTGTTTTCAAAACAATTGGTTTCATAACTAATATGTTATAAGACTTTATATCTATGCAATGAAATAAATTTAATACATCAACAAAATAAATTAACAAATTCCTCTCTAAGTTTTCATGGAAAACATAAGCCCTGCCCCAGCTATACACCTTTGGATTCTACGGTTAGGAACTGGACAGAGAAAAGTTTAGACTTCCCAAACTTGGTCTGTTACATGGATGAAGCACACAGATTGAATTCCTAACTTACTGCAGACCAGACCCCTAAAGAATCCTTTACTATAGAACCCTTTACTATAGTATATGTTTTTTTTAATTTTTTTCAAAATGGAAGTTGATTATGCTTAACTTTTTTTTTTTTTTTTGGTGGTGCTGGGGAGCAAACCCAGGGCTTTGTGCATGTGAAGCAAGCACTCTACCAACTGAGCTATAGCCCCAACTCAATGCTTAACTT